CCTCTCTCTCTCTCTCTCTCTCTCTCTCTCTCTCTCCCTCCCCCTCCCCCTCCTGTGGCCCCTGGCAGAGCCAACCACACCGCGCCTGGGACAGGCACCGGCAGCCAGGGCTGCCCACACACACTCTCCCCCTGAGGCAGCACATGCCCCGGGAACCTTCATCAGACAGAAAGGAGCCAGGCTCCTTGTGAAAGCAGCCCCTGCCTGGCATCGCCACAGCACCCCAAAGCCACACACGCCCCCGTGACCTGCCTTAAACCGTCCCACCTGTCCTACAAACAGCTCTACCCAACTCATTGCAGTTGCCAAAATGGCGTGTGGAAGGCGCCCCGCACATGGCACATGCAAAGAGCATGTTGTGCCATGTAAATGGCACCCTGTACTGACAAAGAACGTCCTTCCCAACACACTGGTGTCCCGCACGTGGGCAGCACCCCCAAGCAAACCGGCCAAATCGCTCCTATGCCATCTCGTGAGCGAACGGTACCCCCACACATTCCTACACCCCGCCACGCGTGCCCAGGGACACCTTTCACCACACTCCTCACTCCGCTGCCAAACAAACAAAGCACTTGCACAACCAGTCTACACATCACTTCTTGAAAACAGGCAGGGTCTACCCAAACTGCGCCCTTCACCACATCCAGGGCAGACAGCACTACACACAGGTCGTGCAGTAATGCCCCCTGGGTATCATATGCAGTTATGATGCCAATACATCACAAGGACACCCCAGAAGGATAATACCTCAGACCCAAACAATGCCCCTCTTAGCGTACCACACACACGCAGAGCTATCCCCCCTGAGATGACTAATTAAAAAGCACCACACAGTCTCCCCTACCCATACAATATCCCTAGTCAACGTGCTAAACTAGAGGTTCCCAAATTGTTGTCCACTGGTGGTCTGCAAGGCCATGGCCTTGCAACGGGTCTGTAGATCACAGTGGGCTGTCAGTGCTTTTATGTTTCCAATGCTAAGGGTGCATGGGAGCTCATAAGAAATGTTGAGGGTTGAAGATTATTTGTCAGTTTAAATAGTTCAGGAACCACTGCCTCAAGCCATCTCCAGTATCCTATGTGCAGTATCTTCCTACTCACCACTCAGCACATTTCATTCTGCTTTTCAGTCCCACTACCCAAAACAGCATGCATACATAGACACTACTCAATTAGTGCGTTCACATGGAATATCTCCCAGCCACTACTCAAGTACTGCCTTTCACATGGAATATCCTTCAGTGGGTGCATCTACACACGTGCTTTAATGAACAGTAGCCAATTTTACTGTGCATTAAAGTGTCACACGAAACTGTGCTGTTACACTAATGCAAAATCAAATAGGCTACTGCACATTAAGCATCATTAAAAATGTATGTGCTTTCGGTACTGCGTATTCGGGTACACATTGGAGGTACTACATTTAATGCCTATTAGGAAAAGCACGTTAATGCACATGTAGATACGTCCAGTCACTCCTGAAGTACTGCCTTTCACATGGAATATCCCCTAGTTACTTTCCCCCCACAGTATGTAACCCACACAGTGTTCTCCTCACCTCACAGATAACTCTCATGTATCTCACTGGTTCTTCCCAGCAGGCCATTGAGATGTGTGGGTTAGACAAGAATCAGAATTAAATTGGTGAAAGAAAATGAGATCTTACTCTTTTTTGGTGGCATTTTTCTGTACAGGTAGATTCATTATGCTTAACTAATATACCTCATATATCAGCCTGCATGTCTGTTCCAGCCAATTTCTATGTTTTGTTTTCAAATAGGCAAACTGGCATTTCCTCCAGAGGAACCCTCAAACAGCCATTTGATTTCCATTATTACAAATTAGGGTACAGATTATACAATGAGAATCTGGACAGATGTCCAGAGAATTGTCTCAGTATGCTTAACTGCTAAAACTGATATCAGTTGAGACTGTGCTAAATGCTCGACCTTTCTCAAAGCCGTACACATGCACCACTCTCACCTACACTGGGGGGTGACAAACTTGCACATACAGCACCATGCATCACAAAAGGATGTAAGAATCAAGGCCTGTATAAGTCTCTTCATAACCGATTTGGTCCCCTCTTTTGAACAGGTTTGCAGTACTTAGTCCACGTGCAGTAATGCGTTGCTTTATGGTTTCAGTTGCAATGTGTTCCTACCTGTCCAGCAGGAAAAGTGAGTGCATTGGAGATGGAATGCTGAGTCCCCAAGACCTGTTACTCAACATGCTGCACATACAAAAGAAGAGTTACTTTACCTCAGTACCGGTAGAATCTGAACCCATCTTGTATCAAAGTTTAAAAGTTCAATATGAAAGGATCATATTTTGAATCATAAAACAACATCCCTGCAATATGAACTAACTCTGTGACTTCAAATACATCATCATTCTTGACCTAGCCTGTTCAGACTAAGGGTGCATTTTCTTACATTTCGAGTTATGTATAAGTTTTTATTTTAATGCACAAAGATACACCAGTTTGCCTTGGAACTGTAACATAAGTTGCAGGAGTACAGAATAGTCTGTAGCAGTATAGAATAGGCTTGAAACTGAATGAAAATTCAATAGTATTCATATATGTAAAATTAAGCATGTGCACAAATGTTTGCAGGCTTAGGGTGTTATATATTTACAACAAATTTTCCCTCCAAATTTACTTTTTGTTTTTTATCCCTTTCTCTCATAGAACTAAAAACTATTAAAAGTTTACCACAAAACTTATTTTCACATCCTACATTAATATTAACTGAACATCAAGAGCCTGGGAGACAAAGTACATTTCAATTATTAAAACCAGATCAGATTTAGCGTGAAGGTTCTTTCTAGAAAAGCAGATCAATTTGTAACTGGTTTTCTAGCCTCTCTCTTCTCATTCAAATCTAAAAGCAAAATACTAAACAATTTCAAGAGATAATCTCCAACATTTCTTATTTACATGTGATTGTATTTACTCAAATGGAAACTGGAGACAATTCATTTAATTCAGTTTTCACTTACTGATTTTAGTTGCCATCATTTTAGGTAAAATTGTAAACAAACTTCATGATCCTACATTTTTAACCCATGCCTTTCTATTATTTTGTATCCTTGACAAACAATCAAGTCCCCATTAGGCCCTATTAGTATGCACGTGCTTAATTTTGGTCTTATGAGTAAAGCCGCTGAAGATTCCCTATAGGACTATGCACACAAGTCATTCTACAGTCAAGGCTTAGGCCAGGGGTGTCCAACCTTTTTGAATATGGGACCGGATCACGAACTTTTTATCACCCAGTGGGCCAGCGAGCCATGTTCAAAGACCTCACCGGAAGTGACATCACATCAGGAAGTGATGTCACATGACCTTCGACATCAGTGAAGTTGCAGGAAGTGATAATGAAACGGGTCTGGAAATGTGCACTCGTGTGTTGCAGCAGACAGAGCCAAAGCAGCTATTGGGATGTGCTGGGAAGCGCGCGCGCACACACACACACACACACACACACGCACACACACCCCCAACCCGGCCCTGAGGCGCCCCCAGCTCTGCACGGGAGCTTACCCCATGCCTCCATCCAACCCAGCCCAGCCCCGAGGCGCCCCCAGCTCCACATGGGAACTTACCCCGTGCCTCCATCCACCCTGGCTGGCCCTGAGGCACCCCCAGCTCCGTGTGGGAACTTACCTCATGCCTCTGTCCACCACACATGCGGGCAGGGCACAGGCCATGCTGCAGCTCCCCCAGCCACATGCCGGCGGCAAGGGGCAGAGCCCACCCCCAGCTCCTCCAATCAGGCGCGGCTGGGGCAGCCCCGCTCTGCGCAACCCTTGGGGCAGCTGCAGCGGGATCCGGCTCACTGATGAGCCGGGCCCCACGGGGGTAAGCAGCTCCCCTCCCCTCGCTGCCGGCTGGGGGGACGCGAGCACGATGGCCACCTCGCGCCGTGGCTCCATGCTCTGTCACCGCAGGCCAGATAAAATGGCTTGGCAGCTCATATGGTGGCCCACGGGCCGTATGTTGGACAAGCCTGCTTTAGACCAAGGCTTTTTAGAATCCCGTCTCCATTGACATCCATGGCAACACTCCAGTTGATTTCAGTGGACTTTGTTTTTCACCTTCCCCCTCTTTTTATTGTGGAAATTTGTAGCACATAATTGAATATGATCAATATTTAATTCTTTTAAAAGTTGCTGATTATCTTTTTGCAGGTGTCCTGTAGATTTCAAGTTTGAAAACATATATTGATTTTTTAATTTCCTTTAAATGGCAATTATATAAAGATATCAAAATAGTTCTTTCATCTGGATCACAAAGCCCACCTCATGAATTAAGCTTGGCTGGTGTGTAAGAGAAATCAGAACCTGCATGCATTCAAGCCCAGAGTGTTCTCCTTCACCTTACTATATTATGCTGTTTGCCTTTAGCTACATAAAATCTTTTGCAGAGAAAAAACCATGCCTGACAGACTTCTTAGAGATGATACTAGAAATGGTATTAACAATGCTATTTGAAAAAAAAGAAGTTCATACAAGTAACTTGAACTGCTGTTGTTGCTAAAGTCCAATCCTGTTACCTAAAAAAAACCCCACCAAATGAAACAGAAAAAGTAATAAACATATAAAATGTAGTTTCTTTCCCTGGTGTTTATTCTTACTTGGAAGCCAGCTGCTATAAAAGCAAAGGCAGAAAACATGGTTATATAAACCACTTGGAAACCTAGCAAACTTTTGCCAGCATCAGGCTATTTAAAACATTGCCTTTACTTTGCTTTGTTGGTTACTGGTTTTCCACAGCACTGAAAATGGTGAACTTGTTTTTGCCAGCTAAGCCAGACTGTTAAAAAAGAAAAAGCAAAAAGAGAAGGGTAAGAATGAAGAAAAATAGTGTAGCAAAGGAAAATATCAAGTTAGGAAAGGGATGAAAACAGAACCCTAAGGTTCCCCTCCTTAACGTTTTTCAGAATTTAGTTGAAGTGAGGTAAAGTGATGCTTTATCTCTCTTGCTCAATGTGGTCAGGCATTCTTTGGGATTAGGACAGCAAAGATCCAATGTGATATAATAGATCTGAAGCTTCCAAGAGATACAGAAGTAAGGGAGACCTGTATCCTTGTTGGCAAAAGTCACTCCATTCATTTCTTTCATCCCGCCACCTCTTTCAGCAAACTCAGAAAAGCAATGTCCAAGAAGGGCTGTTCATTCTAATTTACCAGTCAAAATGCATTTCCTTCTTTTTCTAGAATTATTGACCTTATTGTGACCATTTATTACTTGTTCAGTACCCTTTAAGTCCCCGTTATCACAGTTCTTTTAATTTAATACATATGTACCAGTTTTTGTGTCCCCAAAGTTTTTCTTGCTTCTGTAAACAATTTAGAGTAAGGGGCTGGGTTGTGCAATAGGGAATGAAAACTCAGTTCTGTAGTATCTTCTTTATGAGAAAAATTCTCCTCTTTATGACAAAAATCTAGTCTACAAATGATAAGCAGAATGATAACATACTCAACTAAGAGTTAAGCCAAATGGTTTTCAAAACAAGCAGCATCAAGCAATAGTTGCAATGGAAGTTCATACAGAGACAGTCCCTAACACAGGGATGGGCAATTATTTCAACTGGAGGGCTACTTAATGAGTTTTGGTGAGTTGTTGAGAGCCACAAGGGTAGCCCTGCCCCCTGGTTGCCATCTTGGGAATGGAAGTCCTGCCCCAATCCCTGACCTTTGCCACCAGAAACCCCTCCCCTTGCCCCAGAAGTACTCCATTTGGGAGGTGGGAGGTTGCCATCTTGAAACCAGAAAAAAGAACAAATCATATACCAAAAAATCAAACATCTATTATCACTTATTTTAATTTATTTAAAAAATATATATTTGTCCTGATTTATGTATGTTTGCTTAGTATATCTAGAGGCAATTGCATAGTAGCTCAAAATAGTCTTACTCTTGTACATTGTGTGTGGGAGGTAAAGGGTGTAAGTGGGGGGGTGTTGGGGAGTGGGTATGGGTATGGTAGGTGGGGTGTGTTGGGGCAGGTGTGGGGGTTTCATAGTTTCATAGTTTCTAGGGTTGGAAGGGACCTGGGCAGATCATCTAGTCCGACCCCCTGCCATGGCAGGAAAGAG